ATTTGAATTTGAATTTGAATTTGAATTTGACATCCTTACTGTGCAAGGGGTTGAAATGATTAAGGCCTCTATTGCGATACCAGCCAGCTACATTCCACGTTAGGATTTTTAGGGCATTTGCCTTACACTGGTCCGTGTGGCGTCATACCTTCTCTAACAGTGCCCTCTTTATGGTTCTGCTGGATCCCACCAGTACACCTATCTTCAGGCTTGAGATTTTCAGGGGGCTGCTCACGAACCTGCATGACTACAAGAATTTTTGATTTTGGGGCTTCTAGTGGTTTCAGAGGACTACTGGGGCATGAGTTAAGAGCGGGGCAGTCCTCCATATCAGGCGCTACTTAGAATTTTGTAGAACTTGATTTGTCGTGGCAGCTATGAGAGTGTAGGTAGGTTGCACCTTTTCAGGAGCACACTCACATGGTTGCTCGAAATGGGGATTATTATCCTGGGTATTTTGTAAGGCAAAATTTATTAATGGCTTGGCTGTTTGACAAGTTGTCATTAAGGATTCTCTTAGATCATCTAGTCTCTTAAGTATATCAGCCTGTCTTGTATGCAGCAAAGCACTGAAGGAGTTAATCAAACTTTCTTCTAGTGAATCATTAGGCAGGTGTGTTGTTATGGGTTGAACAAATTGTTTGCTTAGATTTTTCCCTAGCAGAGGCTCTGTTGATAAAAAGTCCTTGAAATTATCTGAGGGAATTTTGCTGTTGTATATTAAAGTACCAGTCCCCGCTTGACTGTGCTGAGTTATAAGTGAACTAACTTCCTCAGAGTGAAAAACATGAATTGGAAAGATTGAAAAAGTGCTCAAAAAAGGTTTCATTTTAAAGAGCATGCTAGGTACCACAGACTGTCCGAATGTCAACAAGACTCGACTGTAACTGCCTCTGGTGGGAGCCATTCTGCTTTTTCTAAGTCCAAAAATTGTCTCTTGCAGTGTAATAGCTGGCTTAAGGACTGAGTGATGGCTTTCTTAGATCCCCATCTGCCTCTGTTTATTGTGTAATTTAAGATTTGCAGAGTAATCTTATTAGTTTGCAGGAGACATTTGCCTATTAAAAGCTTTTCATCCTTCACTCCTTCCTCTGTAGAATTGCTTATCTTTTTCTTTTCTTCCCTGACACTTCCTGTTAAAGGTTTAAGTTTAGAAGTGGGATCTTCCTTTCCTCTGCCAGCTGTTTGTAAGGCACAATTTAGGTACAGCTCAATTAATTTGGCAGGGTGAGCAGTAGGATTTGACTGGCTCTCAATAAATTTTATAAAAGATTCTTTTAGGGAGTCAACTTTATTTTTAACTGTAGTCAGCAGGTCAAAAATTGAAAGGACAGTCTGTGCAGTCAGTAGGCTATGCCTAGTTATAAAATCTAGTGCATCTTGTTCTTTCAGGGATTTGAAATTAGGATCCACGTCGCCCTCCTGGGTAAGTCGTTCAGCGGCTGAGCTGGCAGCAACTGCCTGTGGGGAGGGGGCATTCTCTGTCAGAGGTGAGGAAAGCTCTGAAAGTTGTTGGCTTTTGATCTCAGCCTGTCAATCCCACTCTAGAGGGTCACAGACAAGCAGAGGAGCATTACTCACAGAGGAGACTTGCTTGCTTGTGGCAAATCTGTCAACCTTCTGCTGTTTCAGCGGCTTGGATGATGGCTGTGTTGCAGAAGGGGTCCTCTGTCGCTTCTTTCTTTTCCCCACGTCCAACAGATTCTTTTGGAGGAGCTCTTTACAGCCGTTGCTGCCTCATCGCCATCTTGGCTCCCCTACTTTTAGTTTATTTTTCTTAAGATGTTTATTGTTCCCTTCCAATATAGTAAAACCTTAATTTAACTGGCTATTTGAAGAGATGGGTTGTCTCTTTTTTTGTCTCTTAAATCCAAATGTCCACTACATCCGAATGTGTTCATTTATGTCAACTTACATCATTTTGCATAATGATATAATTTGTGTCAGTATCCGTCATTTGCATAACAAATGATCTAAATTGATGTTTTTATGTGTCAGATTAGAAAAATTGATGCAATGACATAAGGTAGTGCAGTTTTCTGAATTGCCTGAGAAACAATGGACTATTTTTGGCCAGAGTCTAAATATGTATGTATGTGTATGTGTGTGTGTGTGTGTGTGTGTGTGTATATTTACATTGCATCTGAAGTTGTTGGCTGAATAGAGATCCAGAGAATCAAGGTTTTAATGTATCAGCAAAATGTCTCACACGAGAAAGATTGGCTGTAAAAATGAAGACACTTGAGGCATGTAACAAAACTGATGCAGTGTTTTTATGTTTAGGATTCCACATTTTATCACATTCTATTCCATCCCCCCTTCCTCCATCTCTCCCATTTTTTTTTTTTTTTTTGGTTTCTCTCTTTGGAATGGAAGGAATTGGCATTTTGTTCCCATTTGCTGTGTTCTGTCTTCAGTAGTTGTTCTGTGAAGGAAGTGGATCTCCTAGTCGGGTTGTGGGGAAACAGGTGTGTGTGTGTGTGCATGTATTGTTTTCATCTACTTTCTTCTGCATCTTATAAAGGCAAGTCACTAAGTTAGGAATGGCACAGCTAACGCTTCCAAGTTCTTTAACCGATGCAGCATTTCAGAGAACAAGTGACATCGAGATCTGAGTCCAGATAATAATTTAATAAACTGTGAAGAGGTGTTGTGATATAATCAAACTTTGTTTTAAGTTCTGCAAAAAATATCCAAACTGTTTCAGCAGAGTAAGCTGGTTCATTCAGCAGTCCAGTTATAGTATAATATATACAGTGAGATTGGTAGGATGACATTATGAAATAAAATTGTTTAATGGTTTGTAAAATCACTTAAAATAGTGGTGAAATTAAAATAGGAAGGCCTCTTAACCAGTTAACCTTGTTGACAAATGCATTTATTTTACCCAGATAACTAAAGGAATTCTAGACCATCTATCTGTATTTTGTTTCATTGGGGTCAAAATGATGCTAAATTTATATTGACCACTTGAGAGAGATTTCTAGAAGCCATTATACCAAGATAACCAGAAAAATCAGTAAACAATCTCAAAGCCCATGGGTTAACATATCAAAACTATTACTGAGTAATATGTAGTTTGATCTACCTAATTTATAGAATAACTAGATCTTAAACTCTCGTATTAAAAAAATAAGATTAGGGATAGGTGCTTCTAGCTTATCTGTGAAATATGAAGCATCTTGGCAACACCATAATATAGATCCACTTTCTGTAGAATGTGAAGTGGGAGGAAGTAAAAATTGCAAACCCCAGACCCAATTTAGAATACATCTTTAAAAGATACTGGCTCTGGAATCAGTCTCTGCATTTCATAGGAATCACAAATAATAGATCAATTGTTAAGTTGTTTCATTTGTGTAAGTGTAAAAGCCAGTAGCTTTTCTAGCCCCTTTTGTATTGTTGCCTGCTGCAAAGAATCGGTTTCCAAAGCACAAGACCATTAAATTTGTATTTAACAGAAACGAGAGATCTTTGTGCTCAGGAGATGGAGGTTAACAATTCTTTGACTTTCTCCTATAAGGTTAACTAGTTGTTGATTCAAAAAGCCCATGTGATAATACAATCCTGAATAATTGCTTTTGCAATTTCCTATATCAAAGTCAAGGAGGAAATGCCATGCCTGTTGTAGTAGAAAAAAGAAAAAAATCTGCTATCTCTTGTTCACGGATGCATTTCAGGTTCACTTGACAGAAACATAAACATTGACTCACAGAGTTAATGTTAGAAGTCACTAGACAACCCATGACCCATTGGGTCATTGTTTCAGAGATATTTCCTTACCTAAACAGAGAAACAGAATGACCAAGGACAAAAAAGCAGTGGCAGTGGGAGTGATTTGTGACTTGCTGCCAGCTCCCTCCCTCTTCAGAGATATTTCCTTACCTAAACAGAGAAACAGAATGACCAAGGACAAAAAAGCAGTGGCAGTGGGAGTGATTTGTGACTTGCTGCCAGCTCCCTCCCTCCCATAATATAGGCTTGTGCCATTTGCCCTCCCCTCACAACCCTCAGGAGAGTCCTGGTGAAGCCGCCTCCTCCTCAGCTGACCCGTGGAACTGCCTGCCACTTTGCTGGGGTGAAGTGGAACAAAGGGAAGTGCGGACCATGAGGAAAACTGCAACCCTGCTCCCCATTCTGGTGTGTCCCAAGGGCCCCCTCCCTTGAGGGAGGAAGAAGGCTCATCCATCGACCACTGGTGCCCCCCAACCAGCTCTACCCAACCAGCTCTACCTCGGCAGCAGGCATCCAAGTCACACCCTCATCCTTCCTTCAATGCCCACAGCCTTTAAGAGATTTCATAGAAAATGTCTGAGGTGGTACAGTCAACATAAGTGCCCCATCCAGCCCTTAGAAAAATGTTTGGTGTTCATCAAAGTAAGTTAAGTTGCTATAAACCAGCTATTACCTACAAACCAGCAATTACCAGTTAAATTGGTAAAAAGTTTGGGAAATAAATCTTAAATTGTTTAGTTGCTCTAAGAGTTTCCAATATCTGCTTTTTCCTTTTGTTTTCAGAATATGAATGAAGCTTCTTCCTTGCTCAGTGCCACCTGTGACACATTTATCACAACACTTGAAGAATGTGTGAAAATAGCAAATGCCAAATTTAAGCCAGAGATGTTTCCATTGCCTCATCCTGATCCTTTAGTTTCTCCTGTGTCACCTTCACCTGTACAAATGGTTGGATATTCTTTAATGTCAAATATTCCTGAAGGTTTGGGGAAGTTTGGGAGGGAACAGTAGGGTATAAGCTAGCACACACTTCCTCAGTGTTGTCCTTGCCCAAGTCATCAGGATAAGCCTCTGCCAATAGTAATGAAAGCCTCAAGCCTTCTCAGGAAAGGTTGCCTATTATATTCTTAAATGCCCTGTTTTAGAAACATGTACCTCTGACAACAACTTTGTGTATTGGGGGAGGATATTGCCTCATGCTTTTACTGCTCAAGAAACTCCATAATATTTGTCTATGAGCAAAAAAGCTAAGATCACTTCAGGAGATTAATGGTTTAAGGACCTCCATGGCTGACTATTCCCAGCCCTAGACTGTGTCCTGACCTCCCAAGCATCCATGGTTTCTTCTGCAGACCTGGTGGGCTCTAAAAGTCAAGGTTTAGATCTAGCCCAGTACTCCTCATTTGCTCAAACGTAGTACTTCAAGGTCTCCTTACAGTTGGTAAACTAAATATTAAAACTAACATAAAAACAATAATGTACTTTTTTGAATTATGATGTTATAATATGTCATTTACTCTTTCAGGTATGTGTATTCCTCTCCCATACATTCTTAAAAAGCATTCCAAATAAATATTTTTAAAATAATATTTCATTAGAAAATAGAGTCACATACAATTAACATTTCAAAATCTATAATAATCTGTTTTATTTCTTATATTCTTCTTTAGATGAAACGTTCTGTTAGCCATCCAGGTACTTGTAATCTTGAGAGGTAAGTATGAAATTGTGATTAAATAATTAATATTTAAAAATCAAGCAAATTATAAACAATGTGTTAAGGCTCACTTATCACATTGTGAAATACTGTCTGATCTGAAATAAATGGGAATACTCCATTTATTTGGAGTATTGGTCTGGTATTTGAAATTCACAGCCTTTTGCACCATATAATCTCACATGAATTTTGGAAAGTTTCTGGTGAGTTGATCTTATGAGATATAGTTGAAAATTAATACATGAGTAGATTGAATTCATTGTGACAATTCTGTTTTAGGCAGTCCTCATTTAGTGACTGATCGCAGTTACAATGGTGATGAAAAAGTAGCTTTGTGACCAGTCCTCATATTTATGACCTTCGCAGGTCTATAAAGCAAAGGAAAGCTGAAGTAAGATTGTAAGCACAGTTGTGGTTTCACTTGGTGACCACTTCACTTAATGACAGTTGCTGGTACCAATTGTGGTCACTAAATGAGGACTACCTGTATAAGGTTTTGTGTAAGAATGAGAAAAGGAGCACTAGTGATATTTTACCATTTGGAATGTCTTTTATCTTTTATTTTTCTATTATAGTAATAATAGATAAAACTCATCCATGTCTAGAATTCTCACTCATTATTACTAATCATATGTTCTTTTAGTTTTATTTAAATAATTGCAATAATTACTCAGTGGATTTTTTAAAAAATTGTTCCTGATTACCTACTGGCGAACTCAAAAAAGGAAGAAATGGGTCTCAAGGTGCCTTACTTGAATTTGACTAAATTAGTCCGATGAGTTGTGAATGTCTTTTTTAACTTGTGGACTGAATTACCTTTGAGAGTTTGAACTCTTGAGAAGAACTGTACATCCAAAGCATGTTGGGCTAACTCGGTTCAACTCAGATATGGCACTTAGAAGATTATTCCTTTTTGGGGGGGGGGGTGTTACATTTGGATTCTTTGTTTTAGCTATAAAATACCTGTAGTGCATTTTAATCCAGCTATGCCCCCAGGTTTGTGGAACAGACTGTCCTCCTGTTATTCAGAATGAAAATTGGAGCGTACATCTTAGAATCCAGTTAGATATAATACTACCAATTGCTGTTAGTTTTTTATTATTATTATTATTATTATTATTATTATTATTATTATTATTA